TAAACAAAGACATAAGATATTAAATGTATTATTTAGTAGTATGCTATGAGATATAACTTACATCTACATATGTCTTTTTCTGATTCTAAACGTTACACTTCTACTTTTTGCTATTGTAATGGGAATAAATTTATGCATAATTCACACCATTGCGCATACCTCTAGCAATTTATCTACAATCATTAACAAAATGTATAACTTTACTTCAACAAAATAAAATCGCACATGTAGATCTGATAACGCAAGTCACAAGTGTAATTTGAAAATACTTTATGCTTTTTGAATGCCATATATTACCATCAGAAGGCACTACAAAAGCTAAAAGCCTAATTATAATCCCAAGTACTTGGCCGGAACAATGGCAGGTCGTTCGTATATTCACATATATATAAATATATATGTATATGTATATATATAGTACTTTTATTATTACTGTTAATTTTATTATTATTTTCATTATACGTAAATGTGTGTCATGTGGTTTTGTGTATGAAAACATATGTGGTAACATCCGTAGTAATAAATTGTGGCAATGATATGCCCGTACTGCCGTGTTTGGATTTGGTTTTATTTAAATAAAAAATTTCATTTTTGTCATGCGAAATGGCGCAACATGCCACAAAGTCGAACTTTACCTAAAGTATGGTTTCAACATTTACAATATAATACAAGTAATATATACCATATACTATAAAAACAATGGTATATAAACATGTATAATACATATACATAGTACTTCATGTCGAAAAAGTACTTTGAAGCAACTTTTGAGATTCTATTACTGGTATCTAAATACCGCATATACAGTCATACTCAATACGTGATTTATAAATATTATTACATGTAAAAAGTATACTTTTTAAGGTGAACTCATTAGCAAATATCTAAGAGCAATAAAAAAACGAAATATTTGCATATTAAGCAGCGAATGGAGTACTTTCGTGTCACATAAAAGAAAATACTAAACAAAAAAATATATATGTAAATATATAAATGTATATCTGGTATGTGTATTAATAAAAGCAAGAAACTAGTACAATTGCACGCTTAGCGGATTATTCGTTCGCGTGCTTTCAATCTTAAAAGCATTCTCCACAGTCGAGTAATATTGTACGTCGCAGATACACCAACTACTATATACATTAGAATATAGTACTATAGAAATATATTAACTATGGCGTATAACAAAAGGTTGTACCAATTTCTTTCTTTCTTTTTTTGGTGCTGTTTTTTCTTCCTTGCACGAAATACAATTTATGGAGTAAGCCCACCTTTTTAGACCTTCCTTAAGCATCCTTAAGCAACTCCAGTCAGCTACACTTAAGGTTCTGGTACTCGTATTGATCCTTGCACCCAACTCACATCGAATTGAACTTAAAATATTGCACAAATTTCGTGCACAAACCCATTAAATATGCTCAACTGCAGCCACATGATTTCGTATGGAAACAAATCAAATGCATGCATTGGCTCTGCCACATAAACTCGGAAGTCTTGTGCATAATGAAAAGGGCAAAAGGTTGTGCATACTTATGTCATCAATTGCAAGGATACTGTGTCAATAAAAAGTGCACATTTTTCACTTCAATCCACACAATGTACTGGTGTACTTAGTGAAAATTCTTAAAATATATTTATTAAAAATTTACTAACAAACAACAACAAAAAAAAAACAAGAAAAAAAAACTGCAATTTTTGTAACATAAAAATCCAGAGAATGCCACACAAATCGTTCTTCAGTGGCACGAAAGGCAAAATATCAGAGATATATACTGCACATAATGCCAACTGCAACATGGAGCTGCTGATATCATCGTTGTTATTCCTAAGGAAAACTGCTCCCATAGCGATTTCGTTACTATTATTTGCCATTGCAATGGCTCTGTTGTGCTCCACTTTTGTTGCAAGTGCCCACTTCAATTGAAATTTATTGATAAATGATAAAATTTCAGACAACAGCTGCAGTAACCAACCGTGGCTGCCTTGCTGTTTTCCATTTAATCTTAGAAACCATGAAGCTGGTATCATGCAGTGCATCTGTCTTCCTTTGCTTTGCTTTCTTTAGGTTTCTGTTTGCTTTTTTATTCTACTTTTCAAGCCAAGCAGCATCTTAGTTCCTTCTTGAAGCATCTTGACGTTGAGTGTCATTGAGTGCAAATTGTTGTTTTCCATTGAGTGTGATTGAAAATTAAAGATAATAGCATCGAGAAGACGTGCATATTCCGTTCACGGAAAATGAAAATTAGCCAAAGAAAAATATTTTTCCAAGCTATTAAAGCGATTTTCCATAAATTAAACTTTTCCATTTTTTTAAATTCAATCAAATGTTCCTTTAAACCGTATTACTTTTAGTTTAGTTTTAATAATATTCATTAAATTGGATTTTTAATAAGAACGGCGCACATAAATCTTTAATGAAGTAAAGAAATCTTCAATGATGTCATAAAGTATATAAATTTTTAATCAACTCAAGTAAACAAATCAATTTTCCCTAGCTCTATGTACTTCTGTATTCTTGCAAACAAGTCTAATGATTTTAATGATTTTATATCAAGTTTCTCTAATAACTGAAAAAGCTACCGAAGTACTACTCTTCAGACAATTATATATTCAGACCTTAACTATTTTTTATACTTAGGGTTATCGAAACTATTTAATATATTTTTGTTTGAATTTTAAGTGTATTTTGTATAAAATATAAAACTAATTGTAGTATTTTTTGTCTATTTAAGTGCAATAATCTAAACACAGTATGTTTGCACTCTTAAGACTCGTTCCCTTTTCTTGAAACACAGACTTTTGCAATGAAATATTATATTTCCCCATCTACCGTTGCTATAACTCAAGCAGTTCATGATTTATTCATATGTGATAAAGATGTAGAGCTCTTGTGAATAACAGTTCTCTCAATAATAGTAACAATGCTGCGTTGTTCTATCTTTACAACTTAGATACTACTTCATTTCTATGTCAAAACGCAATGACTTCTGCAACATAAAATAGCACAGGTTAAATGAGTAACTTATGGAATACGCATTTATTGGAAAGAAAGACCTATGCGTCTAGATATCTATTGACATCTAAGAGATGTCTATTATCATAAATAACTCTTTTTTTGTTTATTTTATGCCTGTTTTGGAATCTTTCTTATTGTCAGAAATTAACAATAATTATTAAAAGCTAATAAACCAGAAAATTATGAATATTAAGTGTCCCTAACCATTGTTGGGGCACCTTTACCTTTAAACAAAAATTGTTCTTCTAAGATGAAATAGTTTTTCATAACTATTACAAATCAATTTTAAAAGGAGATTGATCGCTCAACGAAAGAAAAAATCTCTAAATTTTCTAACAATATCAGAGATGAAAAAGTAACAGCTTGACTTAAATCCATCATTATCGATGAAAAATTTAATTCTCATTTACCATCTCAGTTATTGAAGAAAAATTTTTTCTTTTATTTTCAACTTATTTGAAATAGAAATTAATTCCTTTAATCAGTCCGATATTCCGATTAATCCATCCAGATAGGATTAATTCCAAGCGCGCTAGTTTCATCTAAGTCAAAAAGCATGTGCATATTTAAGGAGATAGGATGATAGTGAAGGGATTGACATGCATACATACATTCGTTTTTAAATATTTACTTTGCATAAACTTTTATATATAAATTATACGTTTCTTTATTTTGAGGTGTTGTGATTATTACAGATATAAAAGTATTAAACTCAAAAGTTTTAAATGTAAACTTGGTCGTCCACTGTTGCAAATCTCTACATGTCATGGCTCAGCAGTTCAACATATAACATATAATTTGGAAACCGAAGTACAGCAATATTGATATGGAAGATATGGAAGATAACCTAGTAAAAAAGGCTGATCACTACTCCTTCAGCGAACTGCAAACTCATAGTTATAATTATGCTTCCAATAAAAACAAGTAAACGGCAAAAACTCGAAACAACATATCTAAAGATAACTTCATCTGACCAATATAGGACCTAACCTAAAAAATTGTAGACAACTATTTCCATGCTAAACTATGCAATTAATTCTCAAAATATAACAGTAGAGTCTAAGACAGAACAGAAAAACCAGATGCCCCTCAAACACTACGCTTATCTAACCAAAATATGACCTGACCTAATAAGCTATGGAAGACTCTTTCTATGTCCAGCTATGAAATTTTAGCTTAAAACAAAACGGTAGGATCTAAGAACAACAGATAAACCTCACATATTGAGCTCATCTGATGAAATCTAGACCGAAATAATCATGAAATATTCTTTCTATGCGAATAGATGAAATTTCACCCTAAATTGGTAGAAAAATAGCCACAGAATTTGTGTGAAAAAATCCGGAAATACATTTTTTGTTCCTCTTCAACGCATAACAAATAAAAATGACTGTATCAGGTTACTATTGAGTGGAGGATCTCATATAATTTTGAAGTAAGATTAGTATTACCAAAATCAGAATATCAAACTTGGAGCATATATATAACAACGCGACAAGATAGCTTAATTGTGTCTTGTAAAGTGTGTCAAAAAACTGTAAAATTTAGACCATATCGCCCTCTAACTGAATGTTATTTCCAAATAATGAAAGGATACCTACCTGCATTCCGTTCTTAGTTATTATAATGTATATCTGTTTTTTGTTTCCATTAATCTAATCCAATTAGATTTAATTACTCCACCTGAATATTATACAATTTTTTCATTAACTCAGTTAGTAATGGACTTTGTCGTGCTATCAAAAATCAAATGTCCTTAAATAGTAATACTCTCATTATTATTAAAAAATAAAAAAAAAAATTGTAAAAATATATTTAATTAAAATTCTTGTTAAATAATTTGAAAATAACTTTCATGATTGTTTTTAAGTTCCTGAAAAGTTCTTGATTGAACTGAATGAACTTTTTGTTTTTGTTAAAAAGTTCATTGTAAATACTTTAGATAGTTTTTTTGCAATGCAAAGATTGTTATTGAGATTTTTTTTAATTGTTTGAATTTTGCTTTATTTTTTTGAAACGGTTTTAGTTTTTTAACTTTCATATGTGAAAACTGTCAAAACATTGTAACAAACAACGCCTTGTTTTTATTGGCAACAATTTCCTCTCCTTATTTTCCATAAAATTTTCATTTAACTTGGATTTCAGAGCAAAAACGTTCGTGTTCTTTTAGACCAAAAAAAACTTGGAAATTTATGACATGACGAATACACGTAAACACATTTGCAGCACATGCCACACAGGTTGTGCTAACTTTCAGGAAAAATTTGAAATGTTCCTTGCTTGTTTTTGTTTTATCTCGAAGGACACTTGATGCAAATGAGCTCCTACATTCACTGCACACTTGACTAAAGCTAATATGTTTAATGCTTAATATATACGAAAATACGAAAAAGACCCTAAGTCTATAAAAAAACACTAAATCAATTGTTCTTACATATGCAGCACTGCACTTAGCAACACATATCCTTTATTAACCTAACTTCCTCGAGTAGCAAGGACAGTCCCACATGAACGTACCTTCAAATCACAGTATTCTTCAACTTTTCGAATATTGATTGCTGGTTTAACCTAAATAATACTTACACTAACTGATTTTGATAACGTTTTACTATGTTTCTAGAAAAATACTCGTATATGGCTTTCGTTTTCTATATAGTATATAATGCATAATTCTAGTTACTTTCAAAACAAGTCAGAATTTTTGAAAGAAAACTTGTGTGTAACTGTGATATAAAGATGCAGTTAGTAAATACTATTTGCATCTAATCAGTTCCTTGAAAATTCATCGACAAATCAATATAAATTATTTGCCTCCATATCCTTTATACAGAAACTTTTTAATGGTGTTTTCTTAGTGTTTTCTCGTAGTTTTTTGTTGAGCGGTAAAATATATAATACTTGGCGTCATCTTGGCATAGCACTTGCCAATAAATTTTTAGTGTTAGCCACCGAATTTAACTTTTGCAACTTGCACTCTGCAACTTTGTAACCTAAAAATGTCGTCTTTAATCTAATGTACGGGAATAGGATAAACCAAAAACATATAATAATGTAATTTTTATTAATAGAGCAGTGTAGAAACGTTCTGTGAAAAACAGTAACATCCCACTTAGAATGTATAAAAATGGTTGAAGTGGTCTTGCACAGTTGTAAAGTGTGCCGAAACTACAAAGTTTACACCAACCACACCCAAAATAAATTTTATCTATTTTTGGTCTTATCTGCTTTTATTGCCCAATAGTTACAATATCTGGCCAAACACTTGGACAGACACTTTTTATAACTTAATGGTTAAGTGGTTGTGGTATTTTATGTTACAACATAACTTCTCACTGGAATGCAAAAAGTGACAATAATACTCGTAACTTACAAAAAGATTGTGATGATAATGGAGGCTAAAACATTAAATAGGAAATTATAAAGCAGAGGAACCAAATATTACTTCGAAGATATAATAATACAATATAATAGTGCTTACTTATAACTGTTTGATTGTAAAATTTATTAAGGTTGATTAATTTGCATATAACTTGGCTTAGTCAAATAAACGTATTCCGCTAATTTTTGAAAACTCAATAAGACCATAGGATGGCACAGATATTGCCACTACTAAGATATTCTTAGAATTAATCAAAACTAGCAATCTTTAAAAGATATATGTCAATAATATATGGCAATCTGAAGTTCTGTTGATAAGTAGTTTTAGTGACGAAACTGTAGTAATTCTCACAGAAATTGAAAGTTTTGGATTTTGTTTATTAACAAGGAATTGCCTTTTGATAAGACTTAATATTATGCAGACTCAAGCAATAACTTTAAGAGTGTTAAAGCAATTCTATTATGTCCTGTTGAATAAAGTGATAAAGCGTGTACGTATTATTTTGAACTAAATTCGTTTAAAGCGTCCAAAAAGTATAATAACAACTGTTAAGTCTTTGGACTCCATATTTTTCGAAACACATGGTATTTTATTCATCGATTAACTTCAGTGAGGGAAAATTGTCAACATTTTGTATAATATTTATATAGGTATTATTGCTTCGAATCGGGGTAAAGCCGCCTAAAAGTCTAAAAAGTATTATATCGACTCCACACTTTGGGATATACATACTATTACATAGTTTAATTTACTTAAGTAATAAAACTAAATCATTAATTAAATTATGTATTGATTTAAAGAAAGAAATTATTAAAAAAAAACAGAACTTCACCTGTTTTGTGATATGGTGCAATGTTTCTTCCACCAAAAGTCGGTAACCAAAATAATAAAATTGCACATATCACATTTGAAGGCAGTTCTTCATACACAGGACTTTCTGACAATAACTTCTAACGGTAAATACGTGTATAAGCTCAAAAAACGTACTCACAAGTAAGAAATTTTGTACCAATAAAATCTCGTTTCTCGTAACTAAAGCCAGTCTAGAGAGCATAGATTTATCATCCCAGATAATAGAGTTCGAAATTGTAAAAAAGCAATAAAATGACTATGTTGTCATGGTGATGAATTGAAGGCGAAGGTGGAGGCTTGAGTAATAATGTATTGATTTCAGTTGTTTTTTTTTAAATTATAGGTAACATATCTATTTATTAGTTAGTAATAAGTTTCTCTCGAAGTAGTCCAATGATATTGAGAAGATTGCTAGGTTCTTCGTTTGCATGACTCTGGAGTCGATCAGACTGTGCTTTCACTTGTCCATTAATTTTCTTAGCAATTGTCAAGATCCCAAAGAATAACTCCATTAGAAATGTACCATGAGACGTTAACAATATTTCGAAGAATTTTTTTTTTGGTGACAATTCAATTTTATTTTAACATTGCATTGGGTGTCATAACTCAAACTTGTGTACCATGAGACCATATTGACTTTGGAATTCGTTTGTAAATTTTAAGTTTATTATGTTAAAGATATTTGAGCACTTTTACTCTCTATTAACTGCGAGGTGTCTTCAAAACGCGTCCATACGCCTTGACTGGATTATCAGACTAAGCATACAGAAAGTTTAAGTCTTCGTTCGACAACCCAGTTCATATAACTGATTTATACAAATATTATAATACATATATATTATATATTATATGTTAATACAATACAATGTGTTCATGAAAGTGTGAATAATTAAAATTCACTTAAAGTGATTTTTAAAATTGTTTTCTGCTATATTAAAAATAAAGTTATGAAATTATTTAAAAAGCTATTATAATATACAAAAAAAAATATAAAAATGCAAAAACACAATATTGTCAGGACTGAAAAAAAAATAAACTGAAATCAATTTTATGCTCTAAAAAGTTGTGCATGTTTATAATCAATTTAATTACAGAAAATGGCTATTGACGCCTTATTAGCTTTTTAGCAAATTTTTCTTTTAACGCCTTTTGGTGACAAACAAATTTCGTTTGTCAATTGTTAATTTAAGACATAAAAAACAGCAGCAACAATTTTCCTACAAATAAAAGAATACAAGTCCAAAAAAAAAAATCCACTGAAAACATGCTATTCGCATGCTTTTCGAACATCCTAGGTTCGAGCCTTTGTTCAGCACCTTAATGCCAACGACCAAACTCTATAGGCAAAGTGTTCTTCTAACATTGCACGAACGTGCAAATATATGTATAGGTGTACACATATATGTGTATGTATGTATTGGAATAGAAATGTGCTTAAAAATGTCAAATGGTGGAGAAATTTAAAAAGTAACACATTTTCGAGTAAAATTGGCGCAGAGAAGAGCACTGAGTGAGCACAAAAGAGCAAATTAAGACGCTCTGCTTTGGCTGCAAAGCAAAAGCAGAGCACATGTAAAGAGCTTTTCGGGAGTGAATGGCTTATTTTTAGAATCCAGTTCCCTTTTGTGCAGACAATTCCCAAGCAAATCTTTTTTTGTTTTCTATTTCTTATACTTTTTTTAAGTTTCGTTAAATTGTGCGTTTATGGAGATATGGTTATTATTTTTGCCTGCCGTTCCATTTATATATTGTTTTTATTGTAATGCCTTCTTCGGCTAATAGCCAAATAATATCGTGAACAGCACTATGACTACCACAAGAGCAATAAAAATAGTGCACACATGCATGAGAGTAAGCATTATTTCTGTAATATTTATATATAAATAACTACATAAAAAATGCTATAAATGACAGTTTATCACAGAATAACATAAATAATCACTTTCAAGTACCGATATTTTTTTCTTTTTTATTAATAATATTTATATAATATTATATGCCATATACTCTTAACATATAAAATTCACAATTTATGTTAGGCTTCATACTTTTAAGCAGTGCACTTTACTACTTATATAGTATATAGCAATATTGAATAGCAGTACTTCTATTCATGACGTATACATAATATTTTCTACATACATTTTTAATAATATCCTGTAAGTTTCCACTCAAAATAAATTATATTAAAATCACTTCTATTAACTTCCAATAAAATTAAATTAATCAAATAATTTAATAAAAGAATTAAATTTAGCATAACTACTTATATAAATCTAAAATGCGCCATTACACTAAGACTTTTATTGCAATTTTTTTGACATCCTAATAATTTAATTAAATTTAGACTATATAATTTATTTCCTGATGAACCAACAACTATACTAACAACTACACCAACAACTACACCAATAACTACACCAACGAGTACACCAACAACTATACCAACAACTACACCAACAACTACACCAACAATTATACCAACACCTACGCCTACAATTTCACCAACAACTATACCAACAACTACACCAACAACTATACTAACACCTACGCCAACAATTATACCAACAACTACACCAGCAACTACACCAACAACTGTATCAACAACTAAACCAATTGCTACACCAACAACTACACCAACAAATATATCAGCAACTGTGTCAGCAACTATACCAACAACTGCACCAACAACTATACCAACAACTATACCAACAACTAACATATAGCGACGACGGTAGTAACTTGCTTTAACTTCAACAAAGTTATTACTTACTAGCATTCATTCTGGACCCTGAACGCACTCAAAGTCACGTAGATAAAATTAAAGGTAAAACGAGTTCACCTCAATTAGCTACGATTGCCGTTTAGATTCTACATTCCTCAAAATTGTGAGTAGAAGGATGAGCATATTAAAACCAGCCGCACCCATTGATATAAGTGTCTGACCAATACTAATGTTGGAAATGTTATCGATATGCAAGAAATTCGACAGAGCGGACCAAGTCTAGCTCCATTCCATGCGGTTCTTTATCCCGCTAGGACAAATATTAACCGAGATACATCCGATTTACTTGTGTGTACTAAATTAGAGATTCTACATTTGAAGTATAAAAGTTATGTAGCTTTTTGACTTGGCAGCTGAATAAATATGAGCCCAATATGAGCCTGTCGCAAAGAATGATTGTATATAAACCTTCGTCTGTAGCTGACAGAAGCAAAAATTAAAACAAGAGATACCATAGAAAAGCCACCAAGTCTAGCTAACTTTACTACATACTTATTCCCTTTTATATTAAAATGTTCGCAAATTCAAACTATAATTAAATTGGAGCTACATTGTGGAGTACTGCTGACTGCCGAAATAAATGCAATCATACATTTCAATGATATGAACGTCCTTAGATATACCTACTCTTGTTTCTATGAATTAAAAAAGAGTGTGCTTTCTAACTGCACTTAAAATACGGAAACAAAGTAAGATCTTTTTAATGTATTACTGTTGTTGAAAAGTATTGAAAGCCACAGCGTGAGACTTGAACCCACTAAAACCACAAGTTGAAGGTTAAGTTGTTGAAATCTCATCCCAATAATGAGCGGAAAGAAAAGGATACTAGATAGGCTTAGTATTAGCAAGCTAAATTTATCAAAGCCAAAGAAACATGGTTCGCAATAATTGAGAGCTAAGAGTATTTATAAATGAAAGGAATGCGGTTGGCACAATTTTGTAAAAAGTCTAATGTAGGAGCAAACTCTATGCTCGGGGTGGTAGCGACATAGATATAACCCAGATTGTCAAGATAGAAAACAAGAAATCGTGGTGCTTAGGAACAAAATAAAAACTCAAGCTACTAGCTAACTGCAGTAGAAACACAACATAAAAAAATGCAAAAACAGTGCTACTTAACAGCACTATAAACTTATTTATATAATTATTTTCAATGTAAAAAGTTAATATTTAAAATATTGAGAAATAATTTGAATAACTTGGCAGTAAATTATTTCAAGTCCACTATAATGACTACAAAATTATTAGTATGCATATTATAAAAAATTTACTATTTTCTAGTAATAATTGCTGACCGTACGTGATTTTATATTTCGTATGGCAGACGCATATAAACGTTATCAATAAGTACAATACGTAGCAAAAAGAGCAGTAATGCAATCACTGACTCAAACACATGTATGAGACTCCACATACACATTTGAATATGTGAATATGTGAATCAGTTACATTTTCTTGTCTACACTTAACCACACACATATTTCGCTCTCTTATCCCAAATTTTCATATGGCGTACTTAACCTAGTACAAGTAAACGGCACGGCATGTTGGCCTTCGCTGCCTTCGCTGCCGTCGTCAGTGCGTTTAAGTTTGCCTTACATATTTTTTGTTGTCGTTGTTGTTGCTTTCGCCTTCTATTTCTGTTTTTTTTTTCTCGTTCATTCATATTCCGATTTTATATATAACAAAGTCCTTGTAAATTTTCTTAAGGAAAAACAATATTTCATTAAAAACTTTTAGTCAAGTTTGTTATTCTTTAATTCTTTAGGTTTGTGCTGATTGCGAGTTTTGTTGTTTTGTTTTTGATTAGTTTTAGTTTAAAAGTTTTACGTTTTATACGTTCTATGTTACGTTATACGTGCGGTGGCTGCTCTGGTAATATGAGGGGGCGTGACAGAGTTTTGTAATTAATTTCTTCAACTTCATGTTTATTTATCTCATTTTGGCTTTTTGTTTAAGTAAATTAAATTTTAGAAAAGTTTTTGTCCACTCAAATATTTTAGATAAAATAGAAAATATCTCAATTTGTTTACATATATATATAGTATATATATAGATTTTTAAATAAAAACTGCGATAAAAGTTAAATTTAGCTTTGTAAAGACGCAGTACCCTACACACATTGTAGTTGAGGAATAATTAACAAAAGTTTTACAAAATGTAATGATACATTTTTACATAAGCTTAATTAATTCATACTAAACTTTATTGATACTATTTTCACCAGTAAGGATTAATAAAATTTTGGTTCATTACAATAACAGTTAAATTAATAGTTGAACGTATAAATTCAAGTTCTCCTATCTATCTAAAAGAAAATTTTTAATATATGTTTAGGCCGTGTGCGAGTTCGAGTAAATTGAAATACAGTAAATTGAAATTCTCTAGGGATTTTTTGCACTGCACTTATGTAAACATTTATTTATTTATTTATTTACTTATTTATTGCTTTTATTTTTTATTTTTAACAAAAGTTTTCAAATATATTTATTTATTCATTAAACATCTTATAAAATTTTCACAATGGTAACACCTAATTTACCTAATTTTTATCTAAGTTATCCTACTTGATATTCTTACTTACTATTTCCCTCAATTTACTATCAATTTACTCGAACTCGCACACGGCCTTAATATATTAAGGGCTGTGCTTAAACTCGACGCACAACCGCAGAATTAGAGTTAGACTATCAAAATGCGGTACTTTTTTGAATGTATTTTAAGTTCAATCAGCGTACCGGAATCCTTCCTAATTTTTTTGCATGTCACAAAAACTAATGGATTGCAAAATAAAATTTGGTGTATTATATACGTGTACTATGCTTCAAAAGTGTAGAAAGTTTCGTGATAATGAGCCTAGTGCAATACCCACCCTATATACAAATTTTCGGGAAAAAAATTTATTTTTAAATATTTTTTTGCTTCCATTAAACTATACATACATGTTTATTCAATATATAAAAATACAAGTTAATACACAAAATGTGGATGAATTATTTGCAATCTTATGAAATTTTAGTGAAATTAAACTTTCACAAAAATTAACCTAAGTTTAAACTCATAACTTTTATTTATTTTTTAAAATTTAAGATATTATTATTAGTTCTATGTAAAAAACTTTAACAGTAAAATTTTATAAGTAAAAGTGTTCATCAGTCATTTTTTATGGATTTTTTCACTTCTATCTACGATACCCAAAAAATGTATCCGAGTTCCATTAATTATTATTGCTAATGGTTAAATATTAAAGCTTTGCAAAAAACAAAAAAATGTCCGTCGCATTTTATGTTTTGTACCCATTTGAGAAGCCGGACATCATTGAAAAATTTCGCAAAATATTACCTTCGATATTTCTCCACATATTGAATACATTCTTGAATGACAACTACAGTAAGGTTTCTATTTCAAAACTTCTCTAAAGATGTAAAAGCTATTACAGGCTCAATCCACTGGCAAATGTATTTATTTTCCTACTTCTTAAAGGGTTGCACTTCTTCACAATTCTGCGTTGAACAGTGGTACTATTAGCTAGTACCTGCTATTTTGTTAGCATCTATTTCGCTAAAAGCTTATTAGAGTCAAGGGTATATATGTTAAAGGAGCAATCTATACCTATGAAAGCAGCAGAATACTTTCAGTGTTATTATTAGAGTTAGAGAGTTATTTGAAGTTATTTGAAGTATATTTCAAAAGCCGGTACTATTACCTAGTACCTGTTATTTTGTTAGCATCTATTTCGCTAAAACCTTATTAGTTTCAAGGGTATATATGTTACGAGACCTATCTATATCTTAGAAAGCAGCAGAATATATAAAGTTTTTTGTTCTGAAAGTTAAGGAAAGTTAACGATTAAATCCCGAGATGCCATCCATTTGAATCAAAATCACTGATAACAGTATTACAAAAAACATTACCCATCTGTCCCTATGGTCTCCTGAAGCAGACTGCTTCTCACATACTTGATGACTATGCAATTCTTTCTTACAAAAGCATGTTGGCTGACCTATGTGCATTGACTACTTATGCATTATCTATGTAAAATACAAAAGTTCTTTAAATATTTATATATTTTGATATTTATATACTCGTAACTATGTACCGAAACTTGTAACTCATTTATATACAAATTTTTATAAGACTTATAAATATAAATCACTCAAAAATATGTTATTGGTTTATGATATATAACATGTCTTTGTAATAATATATTAGAGACAAGTCTGTATGTTATCTTTACTGCTTAAAACACACCTGCAATGGTTGATACTGTAAGTTACCTTTTTATAACTAACTTATGTTCTTATAATATTAAATCAAAATTGCATATAACATATATTAGCTAGATAATACAAACTTATGTATAGTAATTAAGGAAGCCTAATATTAAATTTATAAAGTTTTTCAATAACTTTTTAGTTTTATATTATAATAAAAAAATCACAGAGTTATCATATTAAAAATTATGGTAAAAATTGTTTTGTCTTTATATTTATATATATATCTATATTTATATATATATATACATATATATATATATATCTATATATCTATATCTATATAATTTTATAATTCTATATTATAATAACAAAAAATCTACAAAGTTGCAATAGTAAAAATTATGTTCTGGTTATTTGATTAAGAATTTTATCTTTAAATATTAAAAATTCTTAAATAAAAATTGTTATTGTCATCTATATATTATTTTAAATTAGTTATTATAAATTATTATTAAACAAAAACATATTATAGGGTTTGACTGACATCAAATGAAAAGTCATATATTTCATATTCAAGTATACTCTTTAATTATATATAAGTACTAAAATATGAAATTTATATTTAAATTAATAATGGGATAACTAACTAACTATATCTTATCTTTTTAGGACTGGAGGTGGCAGCATGTTGGGTGATGTTAACATATCTGCTATTCTGGATTCG